TCAGCTTCGTCAAAGACCGTCCAATCATCTTCTCTTGAGTTTGGCTGTAGCAGATTTGGTAGTGACTGTGATATCACAGCCAGTGTTCATTACTGAAACAGCTCTGATAACATTTAAAGACCGATGCATTATTCCTCTTGAGATAACCCTTTTTACTGCAGCGAGGTTTTCTACTACGTGCTCAGCATTGCATTTGGCAGCCGTCAGTATAGATCGAGTAATTTCAGTGGTCAAACCTCATCATCATCGCGAAATCATGAAGAAATGGTACAAGATGATGTTGGTCATTTGCTGGGGGACGGGTATTCTACCTGCGAGTTTGCGCGTTATATTTCCAGAGGTAATCAGGTTCAATCTAGCTCTAATCATGATGTGTGGTGTTGTCATGATTGGGACATATGCGGTTATCCTCTACAAGGTGAAACGTTCTCATCAAATCGCAGTACCATCTTCACTGTCACCGTCTGCAGCAAGTGAAAGAGCCAAGGAGAATCGCATGTCTGGTACAATTGCAATCATCGTCGTGTTGTTCGCTGCCTGCTGGATTCCTCTTGTCGCATTCAGCTTAGCGCTTCCTCAAGCAACTCTGCTTTGCAAATATGACATGAAATTCAGTTGGACCAAAACTCTAATGTTTGCCAACTCTTCCATGAATTTTATTGTGTACAGTTTGAGAATCCGTCAGTTTCGAGCTGCATACATGACATTCATCAACAGAATGTTGCAACCATTTGGGAAGGTTGTTGGAAAATGCTTTCGCACAACTCCCATTCAACAAAATAACAGCTCAACGTTTGAACTTCGTATTTTCCATAATAATTCTACAAATCAAGAAGGTCGAATTTCGGGTTGTGAGACGTCAAGAACTCAACCCCTTAACTAATGAATGATAATCTGCTGGATTTGATTGCTTTTTTAAACAAGCGTGTTTCAAACTTTACCGTGCTCTCGATGCTCAAAACTCGCTATTTTTATAAGGCGGTGATAAAATTCGTTTATATGAGAGTGCAAAATCGCCCAGTGTGTCGTCTGCGGCTTCATGCTATGTTTTTTTGTTTTTTTTTGTTTTGTTTTTATTGTGCAAGTATTTAATAATACTTGCACAATGTCTCAACTCAAAATTACAATTTGAAGCTTTAAACCAACTTTGAAAAAGCGTTCCTATAAAGAGACACATGTTCCCAATTACATTCACAAACGAGGATA